CAGACCAATCTCCTTAATGAATATAGATGCAAAAATCCTTAATAAGATACTAGCAAACAGAATACAGAGGATTATTAAGAAGATCATCCATCATGACCAAGTCGGATTTATTCCAGAGATGCAAGGGTGGTTCAACATACGAAAGTCAGTGAATGTAATACATTATATTAACAAAGTCAAGGACAAAAACCATATGATCCTCTCAATAGATGCAGAAAAAGCATTTGATAAAATTCAACACCCATTCATGATAAAAACCCTGCAAAAAATTGGAATAGATGGTCTATACCTCAATTTAATAAAGGCTATTTATGAAAAACCATCAGCCAACATCATATTGAATGGCCAAAAACTGAAAACCTTCATGTTAAAATCAGGAACAAGACAAGGATGCCCACTATCGCCACTTCTCTTCAATATAGTTCTGGAAACATTAGCCACAGCAATTAGACAAGAGAAAGAAATTAAAGCAATAAAGATAGGAAAGGAAGAAGTTAAACTATCATTATTTGCTGATGATATGATACTCTACATTGAAGATCCAAAAAACTCCACCAAAAAACTTCTAGACTTAATTGACAGATTCAGTAAAGTATCTGGATACAAGGTGAATACCCAAAAATCAATAGCCTTTCTATACACAAATAACAGACAGACAGAAAGAGAAATAAGGGAAAAAATTCCTTTTACAATAGCATCCAAAAAAATGAAGTATCTAGGAATCAATCTAACAAAAGAAACAAAAGATCTCTACACTGAAAACTACAGCACTCTGAAAAAAGAAATCGAAGAGGATATAAAAAAATGGAAAGATATCCCCTGCTCCTGGGTAGGAAGAATCAACATAGTGAAAATGGCCATACTACCGAAACTGCTATATACATTCAATGCAATGCCAATTGAAATTCCAACACTATATTTCACAGAACTAGAAAAAAGAATCCAAAAATTCATTTGGAACCACAAGAGACCTAGAATAGCAAAAGCCATTATAGGCAACAGTCACATGGCACCAGGTGTAACAATTCCCAATTTGAAACTATACTACAAAGCCACTGTGATAAAATCAGCATGGTACTGGCAAAGAAATAGGCCTGAGGATCAATGGAACAGACTGGAAGACACAAAAACAAATGCAGATGTACTCAGCTACCTCATCTTCGACAAAGGAGCTCACCATCCTCAGTGGAGGAAAGATAGCCTCTTTAATAAATGGTGTTGGAAAAACTGGATATCAACCTGTCACAGATTAAAATTAGACCCTTATCTTTCGCCATGCACTAAATTAAAATCCAAATGGATTAAAGATCTAAATATTAAAACAGAAACATTAAACTTGCTGGAAAGTAAGTTAGGCAGAACTCTGGAAGACATTGGTATAGGAAAAGACTTTATGAACAAATCCTCAGTAGCACGGGAACTAGCAGAAAGAATCAACAACTGGGATCTCATCTTACTAAAAAGCTTCTGTACTTCAAAAGAAACCATTAGCAGAACTAAGAGACAATCTACAATGTGGGAAAAAATTTTTACCAGCTGTACCTCAGACAAAGGACTATTATCAAGGATATATAAAGAACTCAAAACAATCAGTCCCCCCAAATATAAAGACCCGATCCAAAAATGGGCATCCGAAATGAACAGACATTTCTCATACAAAGAAGTGAAAGCAGCAAGAAAATATATGAAAAAATGTTCCACATCACTGGTCATTCGAGAGATGCAGATGAAAACAACACTGAGATTCCACCTCACCCCACAAAGAATGGCTGCTATCAAGAAATCACACAATAACAAATGTTGGCGGGGTTGTGGGGAGAAAGGAACCCTCCTCCATTGTTGGTGGGAGTGCAGACTAGTGCAACCACTATGGAAATCAATATGGAGATACCTCAAAGAGCTTGGACTGGAGGTTCCATTTGACCCAGCCATCCCTCTGTTGGGTATCTTTCCAAGAGAACTAAAAGAATCATATCACAGAGAAGTATGTGCACCCATGTTTATAGCGGCACAGTTTGTAATAGCTAAATCTTGGAAACAACCTATTTGCCCATCCGTTGGAAACTGGATAAAGAAGTTGTGGTTTTTCTATAAAATGGAATATTACTCAGCCATAAAGAGCGAGAGAATAGATTCATTCATAGGAAAATGGATACATATTGAAGATATACTCCTAAGTGAAATAAATAAGTCCCACATGTGTAAATACCAAATAGTTTCCCTGGTGTGAATATTCTGCAACAATGCATAAGATTCTAATAAGATTACTGACATTTAGAAATGGGAGGAAAGGAGCTAAAGGTGTAGGGAAGGTGTGATACGTAGGGGAAGAACAAAAAGGGAAAAGAAAAAAATGTGAGAGAATGAAAAGATGAAAATAAAGCGTTTGTAGATGGGGAGGGGAGGAGGGAGTGAAGGGAGGGCAGAGGTAAGGGGAAAAAAATGAGAATCAAGACTTGCCATGTAAAGGTACATGATCCCAACAATGAATGTAACTGTACTGTATCCCTAAATGTACCAATAAACTCAATAAAAAAAAAAAAAACTAATGGGGTCATAGAAGTCAGGTTTATTGTACCTTTTGTCCTGCCTGTGCATTCAGTGAATGTTTATTTAAAATGAGAAGATCAGCTTTACTTTTTAAAGGTGAGGGTAAACAGTCTTGGAATGGATCTGCTGCCTCTTGATATGAGACCAGATGTGGATGTGTGGTCCCAACCGACCTGTATATGGCATTTGATTAATGGGATGCCCTCTACTAATGGACCTCCATTTACATTTGGGAGGATTTTTTAAAAATACTGTAAAGTATAAATGATTTGAGAACCCAAAAGAGGAAAATATATAGAGAAGAAAATTCTGATGTGTTACTTAGATACCTAAAGGACTTAGCTTCCCAAATTTCCACTGTAACAATTCACCATCTTCCCCAACTCTTAAAAACAATGGTGATAATGGAATAGGACTTCTAGATTTGATGATAGAATTCATATGCATTTTCTTGACTTTGTGGCATGAGATTCTCTGAATCTTAGGAATGAGTTGCCTCTCATTTCAGCTCAATTATATGTCTTATTGTGACTTTATTTATATTCTTAGTTTTAGAGATATTTCAACCCTAGCTCTTTAATGAACAGATAAATCAGCCATAGTGAAGGAGAATGATGACCTGTGTTTGATGTGAGGTACCATTTCTGTGGACAGTTGGTGCCTTACAAGCTTTCATGTTACCTGACCTTGCAAATCACGTGGCCTCTGAGAAGCCAGGGCCCAAGGTTCATAGAAAGCGACTTACTGACTGACACTCAGCTTATCCATTTCCTGGCTTCTGGTTTAGTTTGGGAATTTCCTCACCTCCAGGAATGGGTTGTCATAATTAATTTCCACCTGGCTTGCTTCTCCTGGTCCTCTTTGACCATCAGCTATATGACTATATTTGTTTCCTATTTCTCTTTAGCAAATTTCCACAAAATCAGTAGCTTAAAAGTGCATAAAGTTATTATGTTGTGGTTCTGTAAATTGGAAGTTGTATATAGGTCTCACTGGACTAAAACTTAAGGTTGTAGACTGTTCTTTTCTGTGAGCCCTGGAAGGGCTTCTCTGTTATCTTTTCTGGCCTGTGGAGGAGCCTGCACTCCTTGGCTTGTGGTTCCCTACCTCCATCTCCAAAGCCAGTAATATTGCATCTCTCTATCCATTTCTCTTTAGTCACCTCTTCCTCTGGCCACAATCAGTAAAGCTTCTGCATTTGGAAGATCCTTGTGATTAGGATGGGCCCATTTAGATAATCCAGGATAATCAAATCTTTAATCACAAGTACAAAGTTGCTTTTGCTAAAACATAATCTTAAAGACCAGAGATTAGCATGTTAAAAATATTAAGGGTCCATTACTTTGCCTGTCACAACTACCTTCACAAATTTTTTATCAAATCACTTCAGGTACATAATTGTGTGTGTGTGTGTGTGTGTGTGTGTGTGTGTGCATGTGTGTATCTGTGGTACTGGGTATTGAACCTGGGCCTTCACATCAAGTTACATGTTTAGCCCCTTTTTTCTTTATTTTTTATTTTTAGATAGTATTTTGCTAAGTTGCCCAGACTGGGCTTGAACTTGTAATCTTCTTGTCTCAGTCTCCCAGAGACCTGGCATACACCACCATGCCAGGCTAGGCACGTAACTATCTTGCTCAAACGATTCTGCCGGCTTTGTCACTGGAGAGAAGACCTAGTTTCAGATTTCCGGCTTGAATGAAGTGGCCCTTGAGTCCAGCTGTTGTAAATCTTTCTGTACTTACCTCCAACATTGTCTTTGATTGTAGCTGGGTTAGTTAATCCACTTGTAGTGAGACTTTTTCTTCTGTTTTACCTTGTATTTCCATTCTGCTTATGACTCAGGTTTCTCTTGTCCGCAAGTCCCTGCCTGACTTTTCCTGCTCATTTCTTGCCCACAGTTCTCCGAGTGCCCATTCATTTATTTTGATACCTATTAATGTTCTATTTTGCATTGTTGATATGTATATGTGTCTTTCTCAAATTTTCAGCTACTAGGGGTAAAATGTAGACTTTAAAAATTCTATTTCCATATTTATTATAGAGCTGTGTTATTACTTCAAAGTTTCTCTCCAGATGTTGACAGTTTAGAGCCTCTAAATTTACCTTGAATCAGCAGTATACTGATTTCTTTTAAATTAATATATATTACTTAATAGCCTGTTGTGTTCTAAGATAAAGTGGCTATATTAATGCTAAGATGTAAGTGTGAGAAGTATGTAAGAATCAAGCAGAGCTAAAATGTGTTTTCTAAACTGGTAGACTTTCCTCTTAAAACTAGCTGTTGTTTCAAGAATATGATATATTTTTAAATTTCATGGGTTATTTGTAAAAGAAATGTCTTATTACTTTTCCCTTGTTGAATTTGGTTGTCATACCTCCTTTTTTCCCTATCCCTGGCCCCCAAATCTGATATATGACCTTTACTGATTTTAAACGCCATTTTACAGAATTCGACCAAAGCACCTCTCAAGAGATCGAATGTTGAGAAAGTAACCAACGTGCAGATTCTGGTGTTGTTTGGCATCCTCTTGGTCATGGCCCTAGTGAGCTCCGTGGGGGCCCTGTACTGGAACAGGTCTCACGGTGGAAAGAACTGGTACATCAAGAAGATGGGTGAGTGCGAGGGTGCATGCTTGTTGAAGTAGGACAAAGCCATCTGTGGAGAGCATTTCCACATGTGGTTTGCATGGGGTGGCCATGCTGTCCTTCTGTTCCCTGCGTATGTAATGCTTACTTTCCAAGGAGGATTGGGAGATAAAGAATCAACGTGATGCAGTGAAGATAAGCTTATTTGAGAATTGTTTTATGCACAAGTGGTTATATTTTAGCCATTTTAAAGGTGTTGTTTGTGGTTCCTCTAGGGGTTTCAACACCAGAATCCACTTTGGATGAATACTTATTCCAGTAAAATACAGAAACTTCACTCCAGTGTACCTCTGCTTTCTCCCCTGCTCATATTATTATCGTCATAATATTATATCTATGTTACCAACCCTACAATACTGTTATAGGTATATTGTTTGATATAATTGTTGTCTCTTGAAGAAGCTAAAAGAAAAATATGTTTATGGAGTTTTTTTTACATTAAACTACTTATTTGCCATTTCTGGGACTCTACATTTCTTCCTGTGGATGACTTGCCAGCTGGTATCATTTCTTTGCCTCATGTGATTTATTCTTTCCTATATGTAACTCCAACTATTTTATAATGAAATTTTGTAATATTTTTTCAAATCTAGAAGGATTAAAATATATGATTATACGTATTTTATAAGTACCTGTATAGTTTTCTTTACTGGTGCTCTTTGTTTTTTCATACAGATTTCATTTGCAGTCATGTGTTATTTCTGTCCTCCCAAAGAACATTTTTTTTGGTACTGAGGATCAAACTCAGGTCCTTGTACTCACCATGCAGATGCAGTGCTACATCCCTGGCCCTCTGAAGAATTTTTAAATTTTTCTCGAAAGGCCAATGGACTAGCAACAAATTACCTCTGTTTTTATCTTAGAATGTCTTAATTTCTCCTCTGTTTTTGAATGATAGTTTCCTGGATACAGAATTCGGATTAACGTCCTTTTTTCCCAATACTTTGAATACAATGTCACACTGCTACAAATGAGAAGTTTACTGTTAATCTTACTGCATTTTGTTTTTTTTTGGTTTACATTTGTAATTTTTTCTTTTAATTCATTACGTTCATTGTTATGTTTTAGGTATACGATATGATGACATTCATCATTGGGAATTTGTACCTTTACGTGATGTATCTTGGTTCTTATTTTCCCCCATTCTTCCGCCCTCCCTTCCACCCCTCTACCCCTCTACCTCTCCCTATTTACAAAGACTTTGTTTCCATTTTTTTTCTTTTTCTCATATTTATTCCTTTCATTTTGACATTTCTGCTTTCAAGAATTGTCTTTGGTTTTTGACAGTTTTGTGTTATTTTGCTTGGACTTTTGTGGAACTTATATGTGTAAATTATCTTTTTTCATATAATTTAGGACTTTTTCAGGTATTATTCAACTGTTGTCTCTGTCCCTCTGTTGAACTTTTCTCCTTCTGGTACTGCCATTATGTGTACATTTGAATACTTGGTGTGTCCTACAGGTCTCTGGGCTCTTTTAGTTTTCCTTTATTCCTTTTTCTTTCTGTTCTTCAGGTTGGATAATCTCACTTGACTTCTCTTCAAGTTTACTTATTATCTCTTCTCCAAACTCAAGTCTACTAGTGACTTTTTGTTTGTTTGTTTCACCTATTGTACTTTTCAACTCCAGAATCTCAATTTGGTTGTTTTTTAAAAATTAACAAAAACCTTTTTATTTCATATTGATATTCTTAATTTGAGCTATAGGGAGGGCTGGGGATTTAGCTCAGTGGTGCACAGTGGCACTGCACCTGCCTCACAAATGCAAGGTCCTGAGTTCAATCCCCAGTACCGGAAAAAAAAAAAAAAATTGGAGGGAATTTTCCTGGGGTTATTGTTATTTCCGTCTTTCAATGTATTTTGATTAAAGTGATTAAAACACCTTTTTAATATTTCTAATCATTTCAGATAGGAATAATTCATACATTTTGACCTGCCACCCTGGGGAACTTACATAGATGTGGGAAATGTGACTAGGACTTCACTTGTAGTTGGATCAGAATCCCTCATTTTGATTTTTTTTCTTCTTTCATTTTGGTTCTTAACATTTGAATTTGTACCATGTTATCTAGCTTCAAATGTGAAGACTGACACTAGTGCACATGTGTAATTAGTTCTGCACCATCGCAGTCTGGGAAATATACAGTATTAACATTATCTTGGTATCCCGAATTTGTGGAAGCAGAATGACATTGGAGTTGCTCAGTTAGTGTTGAACTGTAGTATAAGCTGTGTGATTTACAGTGAAGCGGGGGTATTTTTGTCCATCCATAAGGCTTTCTGTGTTGTCCTTGTAAGTAGAATCTGAGTAGCTCTGGTCAAAACCATCAACTTCACATTTGCATTGTCACTGTTGGAATTTCATGTTTTGTCTGCTCATCTCCTCTTTTTTTTTTTTTTTTTTTTTTTTTTTT